TGCTCATAACTGTAGACAAATATTCTAGAGTGAATTAGTCTTCTACGATTTGGAGACATTTTAAGAACAGAGACATCCTTAAAATGTATGCAAATCCTAGAAGACCAATTCACTCTAGAATATTTGTCTACAGTTATGAGCAGTTACAGTTATGACAGTTGCAGTTTTACAATTATACAGTTACGACAGTTACAGTTATAACAGTTACACAGTTATGACAGTTACAGTTTTACAGTTAACTGTAACTGGTGCATGCCTACCCTCATTTTAAATGATAAACTCAAAATTCTTTTTCTCATTCGATTACTGAGACTCTCAACTACGCAATAGTGGAAGAATTTTTGGAAAAAGATCCAAAATAAGGTAAGAATAAAGAAATTAAGAGTATTTCTGTTCTTATTAAAGTAATCACTGTATGGAAAGAGGTTTTATTTTCTATCATTGAAATAACGATTCATTGAAGACATGAAAGAAGAGAGGAATAAAGAAATGTTCTTCCCATTTTCTCGCATGGGCGGACATTGCATGCAGAATTCTGTATGTCACATAAGAAATAGCAGTAAACGCTAAAGGTCTAATTAAACAAAAAATTAATCAGAGTTGAGAAAAATAGAAGAAATAACCGTCGTTCGTTCCTATTTTCATATAACCATCAGATAAGAATAGGGACCATCAGGGAACTTATAAGTTAGGGGTGTTAATTAGTGTAATTTTAGAAAATAAATATAAATTCGTGCTTTATATTTAAAAAATAAAGGTGAACAAATGAAAAACAATTTATTTTTAAATAATAAATTATTTTTCATTCTTTTATCTTTAGATGCTGTCATTCATTGCGTTATCACGCACTAGAACTAAGAAAGTCAGCTCAGGGTTACATTTTGATAAAGCAAGCTTAAACTAAGAAGAAAAATGGTAAAGTGTGAGAAAGAGAGCTATACAAATCAGAGATGTTTTTCTTCTCTTTGTATCACCCTAGACAAAATCTTTTTGATAAAACTGATAAGATTCTTATCGGAATCTTGTCAGTTTCTTATATAAGATTGTTCAAGATTTTCCATAAGTGTCTTATAAGAACCTTAGAGGATTTTCATAAGAGGTTTCAAAACTTCTTATGTTATTCTTATTTACCAGAAGGCAGCTTATGAGTTGGTTTTGGTGATTTCTGTTATGATTAAGTTACTTCTATTGGCTGGAAAATTTCATAAGAATTTTCGGTACTCCTTATGAATTTCGAACCCGATCCGAACGGACCAGAAAATTTTGCAATTGTGATCCGAACTAGATCCGAAACATGAAAACGTTTTCGTACACATTCGCAAAGAAACACTTAATGTCTCTTAGTCAGAGTCTTTTGAAATGTTTTCAAAAAAATTGTTAGATTCCTTACGGTTTCCGTCATTTTTTCCTTTATGAGTGGAAAACTTTGGCTAATTCAGCAGTTTATTTTATATTGATCTGAATTAGATAGAAACGGGTCAACCAGACGCGATCCGAACATAAGTTAACCCGACCCGATCTGCGAGTCAACCCGACTCGTTTCGGTCTCTGACACTTACGACTGTCGATGGGAAACCTTAAACAGTCTCATATAAGAAACTGATAAGATTCCGATAAGAACCTTATAAGAGATTTAGACGTTTCTGGTAAGATTCTTATATAACAAATCGATGACTAGGGCAATATACAAAGACAGAAACCTCCCGGAAGCACATGACTATTGTTCTCGAACACAGTTTGTATTGTAAATTATTTAGAAGTTTCCAGTTCGCAATGAACATTTACAAAATAAGAATTCCATAAAAGGAAGATAAGAACTTCATAAAAGTCTTATCACTTTTTAATGAACTTCTTATAACGGTCTTATCAGATTCTTAGAAAACTCTTATCAAACTCAATTCACTTTCCTGCATAATTTTGTATAAGAATCTAGTAAGAATTCAGTAAGATTCTTGTCCGAATCGCATAAAATTTTCTCTTCAGGGTCTCAGCAGTGTTATGTGATATGATGTAGAGGGTTAACAGGACAGAAGACCAAAATTAACACTGACATTTGTTGAAGATTGGGAAACAAAGAGGACCGCTTGGTACATCCATCAATGAGAACCGTGGCGGATGAGATTCGGTCATCTATTCTGCTCTTCTATAGTGTTCGCGACAACTCACTATACGGGTTAAACAGTCCTTGCTTAGTTTCTTCTAGATAATTGTTTCCTATGAATATTGGTTTGCGTCATATCAAATGTTTGCTTATCACAGCCACAGCAGTTCTTCTAACAACAGCCACAACCACCACCACCACCATAGCATCAGATTATGAATCTCAAACCGGATTAAACTATCCACAATCATTAATCGACCTAGCATGTTTAGCCAGTACATTTCCATCTCGTTTTGATAAGCGGCATAAAGGAGACGAAATCAATAATAACAATACTTGCTCAGTTCAGATACTGCATAATTATACCGAAATAACACAAATTAAAGATCTGGTTTATGACGAACAAGATAAATCATTTATTGCAAATCCATATCCAACTCTGGGAATTAAAGGATTACATTTAAAAGTGTTTGACAAAAAGGTATGTCATCTTTTTTCAGCTGCGTAGACGATATGCAGTTAGATAGTTTTACCAGAGTGGCGCTAGAAAAAAACATCGAGAACTTCTACTGGCGGCGGCTTTCTTGGTAAGTTTGTAAGCGGTTTCCCTCTCATTCTACCCTTGGACTCGGAAACGTATAATACAGTTATTTCCTGTTGTATTCAAATTAACCGAATTCATTAGCCGAAATGAATCTTTTAGTTTTTTCCTCTCATCGTCGTCTACTTCTTCCGAAAACATGAACATTTCATCTTGTATGGTTGTCAAGATACGACTCGAATAAGCCCAAAACTCAGTGTTTTGGCACCGTTTGCCACAAAAATAAGAAAACAAACCGGTGTTTTTCTGTATGTACTCGCTCTTATAAACTGGAGCTGTGCAGATATTTTGTAGCAAATACTTTGAGCTTTCAGAATATATTGCTTGAGTGATCTGTCGCTCCATTTTGTCAGGAAAAGTCGAACAAAACTGCATTAGCAGATACTTCTTATTTTTTTGCCCAATCAGGATAAGAAATCCCGTCTGCGATCAGTTCGATATGAAAAAACATGAAAGAAATAGGCGGAAATGTAGCTCGAAGGCAGGCTGGCAATGTGATGTAAAGATAAAAATTTTAATCGTGTAGTATGAGGTGAAAAACTGACTTTACAGCGAAAAATACAATTTTTGCATTAAATGTTTCGACCTTGACGGGGCGATTTCTCCAGACTACGGCACTGGATTGGTATCACTTTAAGAGTCCGACATGGAGAACAAACGGTTTTCAGCTCAGAGACCATGTAGTTCATGAGAAAATTGGAGTTTATTCAGAAAACGTCCGGTGGGAAAGGTCTGGGAGAAGCGGCGTCAGACATAAGTCTGAACAACACTTACTATACACCGTTCTCTTCTTGGACGGTAGACGATTCGAATTGTGCGCGACATAAGTTGAACGGCCTTAAGCAGAAGAAATAATTGTTGTACAAGAAAAGCGGACATGCTCTTGTGCATGTTCATGAAGAACTGTATAAAAATATGCAAATTTTTGTTCCATCTGCAATGATGCGCACCCTGCAAAAGTTAAGCAAAGCCAGCAAAAGTCATACTCTTCTTTTCGATCTAGGATCATAATAATGTAATCCATCTTTCTATCTTCTTGAGAAAAGCTGTACAAGGAAAACTTCTCATCGTTCGGGTGTAGGTCTTAGCAAATCTGTAATGTTTCTCGAACTGAGGTCCTAGGAGCAAGTTGATGGAGCTTCGCCGCTCCCAACACCGCCTCATCCGGACTACAACCCTATGGAACCGTATCTTATTGGTTCCAGAACGAAATAACAGGTTTTTTTAGGTTCGGATCCAAATTCTTAACCATTTAGCTAGCGGTATCCTGTATGTAGGACGGCGGTCTTTGCTTTGCTTACCGGTGTCCAAATAAAATGATGCCTTGAAAATTTCAGATTTTGGGCTCACGCAACTCTCTACAGTTAGTATTTTGTCTGCCGCGTGTCACTATCAAAATCTGAAATTTTCAAGGGATCATTTTAATAGGACACCGGTTGCTAAAGGGTTAAATTAAACTTATTTCAGTGTTTTCTAAAATTTTCAAGGAAAAATATTTATTTTTTGTTGTTTTTCGTCATTCAAGTTGCTCTTTTTATGAAACAAGAGAAATTTTTCGGGTCGCATGATGACTCTGCACCCCTCATTCTTCAAATGCAGCTTTAAATAGCTTTCAGAGATAGTTCACCACATGGAAGAGTCGGTGTTCGTGCCCTTCTATCCTTAAAATACCTAACGCTTGCGGTTCTTCAAAAGGACTGTTTTACTTTCTACATTCATTCACAAAAAGCATCGGACCATCAATAATCCTTAATTCACATTTTCGATCTGATTTAGGGAATCGACGCTAACGACAATCAATCTGTTTTCATTGTAATTCGTCACCAAGAACATGATTCTCTTTTGACAGACGAAATGAATGAAATGATGAGTTTATTTGGTCCAGCAGCTACTGTCGATCATCAACAAGGCAATCGGGAAGTGTTTGGTACTGCGACTGTGGCTTCTTTTATGCGTTTCATTCGACAACAACTCGGCTTAGATTGGTTGGTGCAAGCTATTCAGATGTTTAACAAAATTCAGTTGCACTACACAAAACAGAGTAAAAAAGTTGAATTTATACTTAGTGGTTTTAGTTCGGGCGGCCTGTATGCTACGGCATTGGCATTATATTTTAATCATCCATCTATTACATTTGCTTCGACAGGTGTGGAAGATATTCTGAATGATTATTACTCACATTTATTTGTAAACAAGAGAGAAAAATCTCCACCGATATATAATTTTGCGCATAAGTTAGATCCAATTCTTCAACTCGACTGTCAACTGGGAACAGTTTGTGTATTTTCCAATGAAGACTCAAAAATGAAGAAAAAAACGGACAAAGAGCTTGAACACTTACATTTAAGTACGATATTTGATATCAACGAACCATGTATTCTACAATGGCTGCGGCATAGTAACAAATGGATATGCGTAACAGCTGATAGATATAATTCAAAATACGGAAGTTGTAAACGTGAACGACAAAGATGGAAAGAAAGAATGAAACTAACGGCTAAGGATGAAAAAGCAGGAAGACTGGATCTATGATCTTATTCTGGTGCTGCATAGATAATATGATAGAGCGTTTTTCTAAAAATTATATTAAAAAACTTATATAACCGTAGTCTTATTTCCGCTAAACATAATAGATCTGTCAGTTCTGATGATCACACAGGCGAAAGACGCTCGAACTGAAAATAGCAAGGCTGCATTCTGATTTTCCCAACGGCATCTGTATACTAGTCCGGTTTTTCACGTATGTGAGGGCCTAGAAGAGCGATTTGATCTTGTCAAGGTCCTGGGTTTATTAAAGTTCCTAATTGGCACCAATAACAAAGCGATTTATTTAATGTGGTTTTACGTGCTCCTTCTGTATAAAAACTACTATCAGAGAAAGAAATTAAGTTTTAAATCAAGCCCCATTTCGTTTCGTACCATCTTTGGAACAGTTTTATATCTGAAGCAGGATAGTTCTCTAAATTCAGGTCACCATTTCTTTTGCAGTATTGTTTAAAATTCATTATACGATCGGTAACTGACCATACTCTGTACAAAATGGGTTGTACATGAGATCTAAAAGGGTATAGAGAAGTGCCACCATTTCTAAATCCTTTTAGATTTCGTAGAAGAAAAGGTACAGTACAGAATCGTTTATTTGCAAAAATTCTATTGATTTTTTTTTAAAAGTTTTTTTTAAGCAAGTGGACCATTTCAGTAGCTTTGCTTAAAATTCATTATACGATCGGCAAGTGGTCGTATACAAACGGTATTTGGCTGGTATTAAGCATATGAGTCGCTTTCTATATCGAAGGAAACTAATTGTAACGTCCTATCAGCAGTTGTTTGCTGCTAAACGAAAGCGTCGTTAAATTTATCAGAAGCAAGTTCTTCCAGTAATGAGTCGAGTGAATCCTAGATAACATTTTATTCATCGAGTTATCGTTAGTGGTGATATATGTTTAATGAAATTGGTGAGGAAAAGATAGATTATTTATAAATTGATTTCTGACATATTCTTTTGATTTAGATCTGTGATTGTCATCAGAAACGTCTCTTCTGTTTCACCATATACTCGCTTTACTTAATTAACATTCATCACAGTGTTCACAAATCGCACTGTTCTAGCTCGAAGATTTAGGAGGGAACCCAAAACACTCTTAATTGAACGATATTAGTCAAGTTTCTACGATGTTCTATCAAAAAGTGCCATACGAAATACGATACAGATCGAAAACTCAGTATTAAAGCAAAAATTTTCAATGAATTTATATTCCTATATCTATATATTTATATATAGAATGTTAAAAAGCCTGTAACTCGGTTGTCCAAGACCTTTGAAATTTGGCCAGCACCTAATTTTGTAGAGAATTGAAGGGGCTATCGAATGATGTGATTGAACAACTTCTGAAAGAAACCGGGACCAAACTTGAAAAATTCGCGGAATCGGAACCGCCTCTGGAGAAACTGGTCCTGAAAAATCTAGTATTGCGGCAGATGATATCGTGGTCCGTATTGCTCAGAAAATATATCATTATCAACGAGACCGCAAAATCAGAAGGAGATTACGCTATTAACAACATACACATACCTTTTAACTGTTTCGAGTAATTAAAAAACTTACCATTTTATTTCTCTTATTTCGAAAAGTAGTCAACTTTCCAGGGCCACTTTGCGGGACCGTTATTCTTATACTTTAAATCAAGGAACCCTAATGAATCGAGTTACGTCCGGCTTCAAAACTATAAAACTTGCATTTTGAGTGAGATGGACTATGCATGTGTATTATATGATAATGACTTTGCAAATAACAATACCCGTCTAGAATCTGTTCAACGCTTAGCGGCACATGTGATCACACGGGATTTTAATAGAGCAGGATCTGACCTAGTGAATAAATTTAACCTTTCTCTGCTTTCGGTGGGACGTAAATATTTCCGAGTCGTTCTCTTTTTCAAAATTTTTACAAGATTCTCCCCTCTCTCCAGATTAGACATCATCAGACATAACCCAAACAGACAATCGAATCGTAACATTCAATAAAGCAAATCATTCTACTTTATTTTTCATTCTACTTTATTTTTCATGTCGATCGGACGTACTTAGTGTTTAGCCTATATAGCCATATTTTTATTTTGTAAGTGCATGTTGTATGAGTCATCGTACACATACATTGAATCGTAGGAAAAACATCACTTTAATCTCAAGAATGGAAAATAATAATTCTGGCATGAAATTAAAAGATGATATTGATTTAAATGGTATTATTAAAAATATTTGTTCGTCTGAAGTCTTTATTGATGGATTAATCAGATGTATCACCAAAAGTGATGTGTTTACAAAAGCGATTTCTGAAGCGATATCAGATTCGATTGCAAAATATGAATCACGTATAGCTCAATTGGAAAAAGCTGTTAAAGAATTACAGTTCAAATGTAACGATGTAGAACAATATGGGCGACGCTGCAATATTCGAATTCAAGGTATTAAAGAAGAGAATGATGAGAATACAAATAAAATAGTCATTGACATTGCACAAGCGTTAGGCGTCAATATAGACGAGAGGGACATATATACGTCACATCGTCTTGGACGCAAAGGTAATTATATAAGACCTATAATAGTCCGATTCGTACGTTTTGATGTACGTCAACGTGTTATAACAAAACGTGGTAAATTGAAAGTTATTGATCGTTATAAAAATATATTTGTGAATGATGATTTAACTAAACATAACTACGATGTATACAAGTATGCCCGTGATAAACTGAACAAACGTTCTGTATCTGTTCGTAATGGAAATGTGTATTATTCGCGTGAATGTCAAGACGATCACGGAGGTACCAAAGCAAAAATTTCTCATTTAGTGACTCGTGCATCAGTGGATTCGCTATTAGGGTAGAAAATGGCTATTAGACAATCTCATGCTATACTATGTATCGATAAACAGAAAACATTCTTTTCAAATTCGAATGTGTGTGTATATTTATGATGAAATATTTTTGTGCTATTTATATGTATTGACAGAGGAACTTTATTTACTCATAATTACTGCAATGATAGACTTGGAAAGTCGTCACCATGAAGCAAGTATTCAATTTTTATATTTTAATGGCTAGCAGAAAGTCTGAGGGCAATGAAGCATCCGAAACGGCATATCTCATCAATATTAGAGGTTTACGGGCAAAAGCTGACAATACTAGCGAAGTT